GGGGGGGGGGGGGGGGGGGGGGGGGGGGGGGGGGGGGGGGGTTGGGGATGGTTGCTGAGTTGCTACGCCCACGGCATGCCCAGCTGAACCCCGATCAGCCCCTCTCCCCCTGCGCAGCACAACACTGTTGGCTTAGCTGCTTATTCCCATGACAACTGCCCGCCTGAGCACCAGATGTGTGCAAAGAGGGGAGAAAGAAGAATGGAAAGTGTTCAAATATATCTATGGCTGAGGCGGCTGCGTTGCTTCGCCTTGACTGACACTGGAAGGAACCGAGTGCGGTGTCAAAACGCTTTCTACTCATGTGGTCATATTTTATTTGACACGAAGCTGAAGCATTTAACAACACAGTGGTATTTACAAAGTAATGTTTAACAAACACAACAAAAACGTTTGCATAACTAATACCATTCTATTCAATTCAAAGTAGAGTTGTCTGCCTGCAGTGTTTTGCTGCTGTCAAGATTGAAGGAGGAGGATTGTGTGGGTGTGTGTGTGTTTGTGGCTGTTATTAGGGGAGTATAGGTAATGAGAAACAAGTGTTATGTGGTGCTGGTGGCTCACACGTGGCAGATATCATCATCATTGTTCAATTTAGTGACAGACCTTGCAGCTCAAACCTGCGTGCAAAGAACATAACCACATAACCAGACTTGGACACAGTTTTGAGCTAAATGCTAACGTGCACGCCGTGGTAGTTCAGCATGCAAGCATACTAACGTTTGCTTTTTAGCACTAACTATGAGGTAGCGTAGAGTTGAGATTGATGGGAATGTAATAGCTTTTCAGTATTTAGTCATAACCTGAAGTATTGGACTACCTAAAACCTAATCTGATAATGGCGCTACACGGAAAAGTCAGAGGATCGCCGAAATGATCACAATTCAGAGGGTGACATGAATGTCTCTACCAAATTTAAATGCAATCCATTCAACAGCTGAGGAGATATTTAACTAAAAAACAACATCAACCCGTTTGTGATGCTAGAGGAAAAGTTGGTGTGATTTATTATAGGGGACTGTGAATGTGCTACATTTCATGGCAATCCACTTGTCTCTCTTATTTTAGACAGGAACCATTGATTTGCACACTTCAAGCTGTACGGTGAGGTGACTCATTAGGTTACTCATTAAGCTGAAGACAAATCATTTCTAACCTTTTCTGTACAGCCCTTTCTGTGTTGCTGCCGGCGAATGAAAAGAGCCACCGACTCATTAATGTCATTTGAGACTGCAGAGCTCCTGTCCTCAAATCACACTTACATTAAAGTATAGCTCAATGAAAATGGTGAGCTCATAGGTGATAATTTAGTAATTGCCTCTGTGTGCTGGATTGAGGAGCTACTTGAAGTTGTTTTCAGGGCCTGGGGGGGGGGGGGGGCTGGTGCCGTGGAGCAGGTGCTGAGGTGCCTGTCAACACTTATTTGCTGTTGTTCTCTCTCACGCAGCTACTTTATTCACTTAGAGACACAACGCACCACTTTAGCAAGAGGGGCAAATTGAAGCTGCGGTTGAATGCGTTGCACTCTGTGACTTTACCTCAAACAGAAACCTCCTCTTCAGTCTGCTGGAGAGCCAGGCGAGTAGGAGTTAACGACGTAGGCTGCAGTGTTTTCATTGGCTTTGCAGACATAAACAAGAGCCGTACTTGTGCGTGACCCCTGGGCCTGACCCCAGAGATAGACGCTTCTCTAATGGGTGTCTCTTTCAGCAGGCGGCCAGGCCAGGGGAACAGAGGAGCCATTGTTTGGGCCACGGAAAGCCGATGCTCTCCCCATTAAAGTGCTGAGCATATAGAGGAGGGGACCGTAGGAGTCATGAAGGCGAGGTAAACAGCAAAGGAGACAGAGGACATCTTTGGCACACAGGGTTTAAATTTAGGATATCTTTTTTTTAAAACAATCTCCTCTGCAGAGATGACACCCGGGTCTCTAGTCACATGATTCTTATACGTTTTGACAGTTGTATAAATAACAATGTTAATTAGCTCCTATTAAGGCTTGAAATTTCTACACTTCAAACACCTAAGACACAGGATTGAGAGGGGAGCACTGAACAGTTGTGTACTCTAAACCAACCGTGACTGGGGCAGGGGCTGTTGTTCTGTTTCAACCACATCCTCTGACACACTCTGTCATTGTGTGCATGTGTTTGTGTCGGGGGGGGGGGGGGCCCGCAGACAAGGGAGTTTTTTTTGCAGCGAGTGGCCAAACAGGTGAGTCGGGCATCGGCACAGTGTGAAACCGTACCTGGCATGCATGACAATAGAAGTGCCACGCGTCAGCCCCGAGGGAGGTGACTGTAAGCCGTCTGGTATGGTGAATAAAAGAGCAACGCAGTGTGATTTTAAGCACACTGTAACATAAGCACGTTTATATTAGATTTAATAAGCGATTTAGAATAAAGTATCATCCATAGAAATGAAAACAATATACTGCACCTTCTTTAAAACTCTGTGAGGAGAATGCACTTTTGCTCACCACACAAACCAGAAATACACACTAAACATTCACGATTGTATCTGTCGAGAGTAATCAATCACTCCCGTGCCTCGAGGGCATCCATGCTGCAGTGTAACTAATCTGCAGGAGACACAGTCGACAGTGCAATGCACTGCAGTGCGAGCTACTCATTTGCTCTTTACATAGGCTCAGTCAGTTGTCATGCAACACTTGATTGTATGTGCGTAGAGTGCAGACAGCGGTTATTAGAAAGGGTTGGAGGCCCCAGTGCTCCCACTAATTTAATGACCTAACAGCAGGAGGGATGTGATGGGCATGGTCTCTGTCAAACGCCTGGCCAGCTTCAAACACCTGGCTAGCCTCAGACACTCGGCTAATCCATCAGCGGCTTACTTTCACAATATAACTCCTTAAACTAAAAGCTTGGGCTCAAGAGAGAAGGGAGCAGCAGAATTCAGTTCCAGTTAAGAGAAAAACAGTTTTCAGTTGTGAAAGACTGGACTTATTGAAAATCTATTTTGCATGTCTATCATTTTTCTAACTCATCGGATTTTGCTATTGTACTTAAGCCATCAATCTCCTGCTTTTCTTACACATTAAGTGAAGTTTTTTTTCCCTTAAGAAGAGCATTAGTAGCATGGTGTTATTTGTTCCTGTAAAGACATAAACTTAATGCAACTTGACACCTTCAATAAAATTTTATTGAAAAAAAGTACCAATAAACAACAAGAAATCCAGAAAAAAGATTTGTAGAGCAAAGCTCCATATGTACAGCATATTGCACTACAGAACAAATTGTCTTTACTTCCATATTATATCAACAACCAAAAAAAAAAAAATATATATATAAACACAAAAATGAGTGCACAGTAGAGTCTCGAAAACACACAGTCAATGTTTACAAAAATGCTACATTTTTCGCTGGGTCTCATTTTCTTGGTTTACAGAGAGTGTGTGATAATCAAGACTTCGTTGAAACTGAGCAGTTAAAGGCATATTCCAGGGTTTTTAGAAATACATGTACACGTTTATCTGTTCTTTAAAGATGGGCCAATATTCCATAGCTCTCAGCTCACGAGCCAAGGCAACCAGAACCATGAATTATTTTGGTTTGCTTGGTTTTGTTTTTTACACCACGGTGAGTTGTGCAAGGAATGTTGCAAGTTCATTTTTTTATTTAAAAAATGCCCTTGATCTCATGGACTTCAAGAAGGATCCTGCTCGTATTAAAAATTGTTTTTACAAGCAATGAACTGTCCTTATAAAAGCACACCCTTTTTCTTAAGAAAATACATTTTAAAAAAGTTAAGAAAGACCACGAAGAAGAAATATTATCGGTAAAAAAAAAAAAATAAAAATAAAAACCTTCCTCGAAAACTTCAAATTTATATAAAGTGGACTACAAAATTCAAGACACTGACGGTTTCCATAAAATACATGTCCCACTCTAGGGATTCTCCACACTCACATTTAACAATGAGTGCAGCTTGGGAACCTCATTCTAACAAAATGATACAGGGAACCACGGTGGCTGGTTTCCCTTTCAAATAAATCAAACAGGCCGGCAATCCGAGCCTACTTGTTGAATGCACAGGTATACATCTGACACATGGCAAGATTAGCCCAATAGAACAATCCAGAGTATAGAATAGACATTAACACACAACAGATAAGGGACCCATGGGATCTACAGAAACAAAGTACTTTCCAGTGCATGTTGATTACAACACAATGATTTAAGAATTGAACACACAAACAAACGCCTAGTGACTTAATATGAAGTCAACCTTTTCATGTGTGTTTTGAAGCATCTCTAATGTCATGTGTATCATTAGCAATGGGTGGGATGGGTAATGACTCATTAGTTACAAAGGAAAGGTCATATCCTGTTGAAACTGCATAGAAACTGCTGCTTTTCTAAACCACATTTTGTGAATGTACCCATGATGACTGGGGAATCGGGTGGTGGAAGATAATGAAAAAGGTCTGAATTGGTTCGGGCCCTTCCCTGGAATATCACAACCTTATAAGAGAAATACACCGCCCAAAATCCAACGCCCATCCCCTAGGCTTGAAAGGTGAGGTTTGTAGTTTTCTTCTTCGTGAAGAGCAGCAGCTGTGCTCATGGTGAATTCATGTTGGTTTCAATGTATTCCAATGGTAGCGACAGTTACACTTTGGACATGTGGGATGAATATACTGCTTCCTCGACACAATATTGTCCTCCTCACAGCTGTGAAGCTCTGACAGAAGCAGTGCATGCGGCAGAAACAATGATGGAACTTGCACTGCGGAAACATTTCCACCATCGAAAAGCATCGAACCAACATGAATTCTTACTGACCATAGCCGTTGTTCTTCACAAAAAGCCAAACTACAAACATCTTAGAGCCTAAAGGAGATGAGCAATACTAAAGAAAGTAGAATTTGAGTTGAGCGTCACATAAAGCAATGTCAGGTAAAATGAAGGCCAACCTGCCCGGCACAACTGAAGTCCAAAACAAAAAAGAAAAAATAAGAAGTAATTGCACACACGGGTGTATACAGTAGAAATGGGCAAATATACATAAATAAGAAGGGAAAGAAAATAAATTACAAAGAAAAATGAACCGATGATGAATAACAGCCAAGTAATAAAGGAGTAGCACAAAGAGGAAGTCAAGAGCCAATGGTGAGACGGGGCGCTACAGGGACTGGCTCAGCGTTCAGGATCCGCAGGAAACTACAACCACCACCACATTCAGTGCACCTCACACGCCTTACTACTACATGCTCAGTAGCCCCCGTCACCACCACAGCCGGCCTCGGTCTCCTCAGTCAAACTGTACCTTTATGTGTTTGTGCTGAGACAATTGTCCAGCAGGATTTATTTTTGTTATCTGAAATGAAAATGAAATAGACTTGACAATACCTCGACCGGTACCGCCATAAATAAAAGGGTGAAAACGCTGCTTCTTCTTCTAACCATGTCACAGATTCTCAAGGTTACCAGTAGCCCACAAAGTCTGTCCCTGAGAAATCTTTCAGAGAATGAGAGGAAACCCTAATTATGCAGTGATAAACTTGACACGTCGTAAGGAGCAAGTAATTACAGACCCCTGATATGTACTGCTCCTTGGGTCCACAAGTTGGCTTGGGTTCAGCAATGGGAAATATAACAAACAGCATCCTCAACAGTGTCTTTAAACATATTCATATTTCAACAATAATTACAGTCTTTCTCATTTTTTGTCTTTTTTGTTAGCTGAGTGGTTATATGTACTAAAAATGTCCCCAAATCTGGATCTGAGCACCAAAGATCACCCAATAGAATACAAAATGATGTAAAACCCGATAAAAGTAGCCTGAGACGATCTGTTTCACAGATTGATTATGCAGTATTGTTTGGTGTTCAGAAAACACACGGTGAAAAGAAACAATAAACCAGGATAGCGACCTTTTTGCGTGTGGCTCTATTGTGACTCTAGTGTGTAGCCTGAAACATTCTAGAATCCAGTCCAAATGCCAGACTGCAGTTAGTCAGGCCTCAACATTGATTACTTGTCTTGGACATGAGAGTGAATACATCTTGAAATGGTGCGGCGAGAAAACAAGCCATAAGTGAAAACCTTCATACAAAGACAGAGGTTAGCGCGGTAACAATCTGAGCTCTTGAAGGGTGTACGGCTAGTGCAAAAACAGTGGATCCACAGCTCCACTTCAAGGGCATGGAGGTCTGAAAACAATCACATGAAAAGAACACACGGAAAACTAAAGCGATAACTTGAGTGTGGGAACAACGGAGGAATGAGTCTTCTCACTGAAATTCTGAATAAAATCATCCCGGTGGACTTGGGACAAATTGTTTAGTTGCTATTCAGGTAAAGAATACTTAAATTTTGCTCCATATAACAAACAATGCACTTTACTTTAATGTTGTAATTTAGTGCGCAGGTGCTCGACCTCTAAAAACACATGCAAAAGTCAGCACCGCCTCACGTTAATCTCAATATCTTTTCATGGATCCTTTCAAGTTTCTTTCCCAGGCCTTCTTCAGCGTGCTCCATCCCAGACAACATCCAGCCACCCAGGAGAGTAATAAGGAAGTTATAGGCATAACTTATAATGTAATAATAATGTATTGTAGTAATAATATTGATAGTAATATAATATACAATAAGGGAGTTGCATAATCAGTAACTTGAAATAATCAGTAACAGTAGTAATAAGTCAATAAAAATGATCTCTTCATATGTTTGGGTTTAGCCTAAAAGATTTGTATTTCAAGTGTCCACTGTTGACTAAGCACTTTCTGCTGTCATTCAAAATAATACTTATTTAGTCCAATTAATTTATTTCTTGAAGTTTGTAACCAGTATGAATTATCCCGATAACAGCTTGTAAGCTGTTTTTACGTTTGCTGGCAGTCACCAGGCATGTTTGACCCGTCACTGATGTTCAGCACTGCAAACTCCACCCGGATACTTCCTGAGTCATCACATTGTTCTGACATGCAGCACGTGACTGAAGAAAGGCTTGCCTTTAAAACATCTGTGCATATTTAAAAAAAAAAGATATCTAGATTACAAGTTACGGTGAGCAGACTTTTTCAGGTGCAGAAACTTTGTTCCCAATATTTTTGAATGACACCGAGGGATCGTGTTCAAACGTAATACCATACCAAAGAAGATGGAGGAGTCAGGAAATAACAAAAACAGAAAGTAAAATCAAGAAATTAAGAAAAGATAAATGTTCCATTGAGGTGAGGTGCAAAATGCTTTGTTCTGAGAAGTTGCCTCTTTGGAAAATAGTAAATCAACATGTCTGGTCACCTGGGAAACTTCGGAAAATTAAACCTCACACCACATGTCCTTTCATTTCCTAACCATCTCCTCTCGCCTCATCGCAAAATTGCTCAATACTCATTCGGCAGAAGACATTGAATAAGGCATTCCCGGGGTCTGTGGAGGTCATTAAAGATGGATACATGTTGAAGTGCAAAAAATTTGAACAAGAACAATGTACTGTACAAAACTACTACACCACACGTATACCAAAATATGAACATTTTCCTGTCGAGGAATCTTCGGGAGCATCATGGCAATCTTCTTGGAAAGAAAAAAACTCACGACCTTGTATAAAAGTTGGTTGTCTCCGTCCCGCGGTGACCCTTTTGTCTCCTTTCTTTTCTCCCCCAAAACAGACCCGTGTTAGATTTGACAGTGCCATTAGGAGTCCAGTTCCTCAGAGAGACGGGGGAGACCCCCCCTCACCTCCGTCCTGCTCTACCTCCTCCAGCAATGAAGCCCCTGTCAAACAGAAGGCTGAGCAGAGCTGCGGCCAGGCGCCACCACATCCGCCCCTGGTTCCTTTGGTTTCGATGGTACTGAAGCAACAAATGAAGACAAATCATACAAGTTAGTGCCCTCTACTGAAAAGAATAAACGACACAAGACTTTACTAGAAATAGTCACTTTAAGGTTGTTTTTCAGTGTGAGCTTTAGTCTGTGTTGCCTGTGATGTGTGGTGATTGACAGTGAACACAGTGAAAGGGGTCGACTGAGACGAGGGTAAGACAAAACTAAACACCGGAACAACGCTGATATTTTCACAACAGTCTGCTTCTGTCGCCAACAATACTTATTAGAGAGGCCTCCCTTTGTGTTTGGGATCCCGACACAACCCGGGCTTCCCGGCAGACATTCCGAGCCGTAAACACATCCATCATACGGTCACACTTTTTCCTAATCTTTCTGGCGGAGATCAGCAGCCAGTGGTTAAGGAGGAGACTCTCTCGAGTTTGCGAGCCAATTGGATTGTGTGCGATTAGTGGTGGGGATAATGCTATCTCTTGCCATTGAGAAGCTGAGATAAGATAATTGCACCGAATGGGATTAGGGAGCTTGTGATGAGAGGCAGGGAGCTCTCTGGGAAACACGTATCTGCACGAGAGAGGTACAGTAGACCAACGGCTCATCTGCAGACGAAAGGCAGACTCCACACCGCCTGATAATGCTGCAGCTATTTTCAGACCACGCGAGTTGTAAACTGAGGGAGACTTGAGATCATACTTTTTCATGACAATGCACAAAAGTGTGCAACCTTTTTTTTTTTTACAAAAGCCTAAATATCTAAAAGGTAGGGATTAGATACGCCATATTGACATGGCTGTTAAGGTGGTGTCCACACATTGACCTCGTTAGCAGCCAAGAACTGCCATTGTGATAAGTCTTTACTCTTATCAATTCGTGGCGAACATTGCAGGGTGTTGCATAAGCTTTGCCAGGTTCCAACCAGCATGTGTGCACGATACTCACTACTACTCGCTACTTGTTCAAAAGAAAAAAAATGGGAGATCTTGATAAAACCAGTTCTCTGTTTTATGACACATCTAAATCTTGCCTGGGGATATTTTTACAAGGCCATAATAATAGCTTAATGTCTGCTTCATATACACACAGTTAATATTTACATGCAGCACAGGGCGGATGGGCTGGCAGCCAGCATGGCTCGACTTGGCACGTCTTTAAAAGTCTAAACTAAATTACACGAGAGACTACAGTCAGTTACAACTCCGGGATCAAAGACGAGGACGGCACAGTGACTGTATGTTTATTGTCAATACGTGCAACGATAAATGGAGACATTAGAGAGTAAAAGTTTCAGGTGTAAAATGAGTCAGCTGATGGATTTATCGTGCTACAAAGCTACAAAGTATACGGTATTTACCGTAAGCTACATGAGAAGCCATTACTCTTTTTAAACAGAAACAGAATGTTCCTGTGACTTCTTGCCCTCCCTTCTACCAAGCTGAGAGAGACGCCCAGACAAACGGAAGAAAAGAGAGAGAGAGAGAGAATGAGAGAGAGAGAGGTGCACAGGCCTGTCGCAACTTAGTCATGAGTCACGCCACCAACTGTCAAAATGACACTCGTGCTCTAAATTTGGCCGGCGATAGTGCCGGAGTCCAGCCAGATGCTCGGTGTCGTCACTCTGACACTAGCCTGATGTGCTTTATCGGTGTCCCATGTGGGCTGTCTGTCAAAGCCAGCTGCTCAGAAGCTCTGCCTTATCTGCTGAGCAAACAGCCCGGACTCTGGATTAGTCACATCAGGGAGGAGACAAGGAGCCAAGGAAAAATACAAAGAGCAGTGGTATGGGATAATGGAGGGTGGCACAAATGGACATCACTGTGAACAAACATCATCACAGCACAGTGAAGGAAAAGTAAATATCCAAAGCTAGCTTCGTATGTTTTCATTTCCAGTGCAACTCCACTCCTGCACCCCTACTCAC